TAATAGTAGAAAAAGGAAAATGTGTGTTTGATACAAGAGGGTTTATTTTAATCTCAATGGTTTTTGCATATTGCAAATTTTTTGCTATTGCAGAGACAAAATTTTCTACTGTATGCTAAGCAAACTGCTTTTTTGCAATTTATGACCATGTACATGGTTTTTCTTGTTTTCCGTAGAGGCATGTTGCGTAGGTTTTTCTCTTGGCCATTCAGTTACTTGGAATCTCTTGAAGCTAATAAATGTAGTTCCATGTAGCGTGGATCCAACTGGTCTTAGTGGACCGGTAAGCAATTGGTCAGAAATCATTTTCTGTACTTTTTACTGCTCTGACGTAAGTGATTTTCTGTTGATCAGCTCATAAATAACTTCTGCAGAACTAAATCAATTGTCTAAAGGGGACATTCCTATTAGACCCCTCAATAGGTTTGTATACACACAGCATAGCTTGAGAATAAAATATTTTACTCTTGACCTGGGATCGTCAGAATGAATTGGGCAAACTATATGACATTTTTAAAGTGAAAACATCCAATAATCATTTGAGAAAGTCGCCAAGGAATGTATATGAAAACACCTTCCTCTCAGACCTCTTACACACTGAGAGAAACAAAGGGTCTTACATACCGCTATGAGAAATGTGGAAGAAAACGGCCCGTCTCGCAGACCACCACGATTTTCAAAAACCTTCCTTCAATGTCTGCCGCTTCAGCATAACTAAACAAAACTCCGCCGAGGGATAGAAGAGGGTCTGGAAGGAAGCTGATATGCCTGTCAATGCTCTCACCCACTCGTATCTGCCACTATTGAATAAACCAATTTCACTTGGTGCCTGTCAGACCAATATCTTCATATTAGTGTTAAACACCATTTTCTTAAAAACGGCTCCAATTTTTTTTCAGAAGAAATTGCCATTTAGAAAGAGGTTTTACTGTTCTTTAATATTCTTAAAATAACATATTCATTCTACTATTAGGAAAACAAAAAATTAAGAAAGAAAAAAAACCTACTTTATCAGCAATAGATGGCAACTGGCAAGAGTATGTGGTAAGTCGGAATAGCCAGGTGAGACAAAAGGAAATAGAAAACTAATATGCGAAAGTTTGTGCAAGTCCATAGTACCGCTAGTTTTTATTACTATTTGCATGAATAGTGAAACACTTCTGTTTACTTTCGTAGGATGTGCAGGAGCCAAGTACCTCAGAGGTTGCGGTGAAGAAGGAAGCTGATGAAGAGGTAAGGTTATGACATCCATTGTTTTGATTTTGTTTTAAATGCCTAAGAATATGGAGATTCCTTAACAACCGTAAATAGTTGAGGTTGGGTCAGAGGAGAAAAAAATCGGGATATAGAAGGCTTTTGGGTAATCTAACATGATGTTATTGTGGTCTTATTTGTTGTTGTTGTTGTTGTTGTTGTTTTTTCTGAAACATTATTCTTTTATATTTTCTGAAACATTGGCAAACAACCACGTGGTGAAATTTATTTCCTTAGACCTATACCCCATGAATGTGACTTCACTGTGTGTAAGGATAGTTTCTATACTGAGATGGATGTTATCTTTACTAACAGCATATGCCCTTTTCTGAATGATTGGAACAAAATGTATGTAGGGGTTCTCTTTGCAGCAGGAGCTGGAGCCACTGGCTGCTGTGTTTGTGGAGGCACTGAAGGAAGAGGTGGAAGAAGAATACAAGGTTTGGAATTAATGTAATTTATTTCCAATAAACAGGCAATTGCCCAATTATACATTTGTAGAATATACTGATCATACAAGGTGAAATTAAAATCGAAATTATTTTGCACGATTTACAAATTTTTTATTGAAGAACAATATAAATCAATATTGCAGTTGTTAATAATTCTACATATTTGTCATATTGGTGAATTGTATCCCAAGTTTGATTTAGAAATGGGAATATAATAAGTTTGGTTGAGATTATTTTTTGGCGTGCGTAACGATTTTTTCAATTGATTGAGGAGAGTAGTTCAATGCTATCTATTTCATTATTTATTAGTTTATATAAAAATACATTCTTCTGTCATTTCCTGAATTATTCAAGAGAACTTATTTGAAGATATGATGATATATTGGTATAGTCGTGTGTAAATCTTGGTTATTTTAATTTCCAAGCTCTGAAGTTAAAAAGTTTGGGTTATACAGTTTCAACAATTTTTATATAAATATGATAACAGGGAGACCAGTTCTGAGATGAATAAAGAAGTATTAGTCTTACTAAGGTTAAGTACAAAGTTCTCGTTGTTAGAGGATTTTGAAAATTTGATTTAGTTCTTGTGATAAAACCTAACATGTGATTAGCTTTACAAGTGATAAATGTTTAATACATAACATCATATACATGAATCAGTGTTTAATACATTTTAACAAAATGTTGACCTACATATTTTGTGAGAGATGAAATTGACAATTAAGAATTGCATTGTGGTTCCTGTTCTTATTACAATAATCAGTGCTCAGATTCTGATGACCTGTCATCTTTACATTGGTACATTCGACACATAGCTAACTTGTAAGAATATTTATCATGACATGGTGATAGAAATGTATAGTTATATGGACCTTTTTTGTTTTGTTTTTTTGCCATTTATAAATTTTGAGATCATTGTTTGAACTTTTGCTTCCATTTTGCCATAATTTAAGCATTTTATTTTAACTTTCTCAGCCTTTCAAAACCCATGGTAAGAAGATCGAAGCTAAGAATTACATTTCTTCCCAAAAGAAATACTTTATATTAAATATAATTTTATACTAATATATTTTATTTAAAATTGTAAAATACCTTGAATAAGCTAATATTTTCTTACAAATTTTTGAGTGTTTGTAAAAAATTAGGTCATTTTCCTCTTATTTTTTTGTCATTTCAGATTGTCTTTTTCCTCTTTTTTTAAATCATTTTATAGGTCATTTCAAAGAATATTTAACTCCTCATACTCTGAGCTCTGATAATAACAGTAACAATCATATTAATAGTGATTGTGATTAACACGTCATGCATCATAAATCATATAAACTCATCACACAAAGGTTTCCATATTAGAATTTTGATTAGGAATTTGCCACCTTATTGTATTTCTTAAGTTCATACATTTGACTTGATTGTTCAATAGATCAGTAAGCTTTTACTTTGTTTCATTCCCTCAAAAAAGGACAAGTGTGTTTTTATCCTATCAGCAAAGCTCTCAGGAAATTATATGAATTACATGGTTAGCATGAACGGAGAAGCATTCAGCAATATTCATAGGCATCGCTTATGCCTATGGTAGTCAGTATTAAGATAGTACAGACTACCTACAGACCAGACCGGACCACACCACATTAATATTGGCCATATTCATAGATGCTCTGACCTGTCATACTATATAAATCTGCGAACTTTCGGAGTACAGCATTGTCAAGCATTGCAATGTGTAGAGCACATGTATGAACTGACGTTTTCTCTGAATTCCACAACTTTCTGTTGTGACTATGGAAGTTCTTTGACTGCTGAATATGTGCTTACTGCAGGGAATATTTGGACGGTGCAGTTTTAACTGTAGTCATGGGCATATGGGTAACGTTCTCTTGGACTTTTTTGTATTGATTGCTGTTGATTTACATTGTGAATTACAATGTGTGATATGTGATAAATGAAAGCGGGAAGGTAGTTGGTCTACGGAAGAAAATATAGCCTCTTTGAGTTAATTAAAGCTCAAAAAGCTATTGTTGAGGTGAAATGATTAATTTTCTTGTAATGAATTTTTCGCAAAGCATGGCCACAACATTTAGAAAAAATAAAAGAACAGAAGTGGATGAATATGCAAGCAAAGACACAAATTAGTAAGGTAAGGTGTTTATTTAAATACACTCATGTATATACATATTTTCATTTATGAGTAATGAACTGTGTATTTTGTATTCTATGTGAGTTCTTGTTTATATTATCATGCATTGGTTGTAAATTAATTTCATTGTAGGTTAAACAATAGCAGAGGCAGACTGGTGTTGGACTGCCACCAAACATGTATACCACGGAACCGATACTCTTTGCCATGGAACTGGATTGGCAGGTATCATGTGAACTGCCTCGTGAATTTATAATTGATAAGTAAGAATTTGAGGTTAATGGTGATGAGCCAGAATTATCTTTCTACTTCTATTATAATATATGCAATAATGTTTGACAGTGACACTTGCCCCTGATAGTATTATTATTATTATTATTATTATTATTATTATTATTATTATT